TCACTCATCACCGTGACCCATACCCACCCCAACCTGACACATTTCCTCCAAGGGGTCCACCACCTGTTCATTCCCATCATGAAGAAAGTGGTAATCGTGAATATAATACTGAACGTCACTATAATGAACCTCCTCCATCTTGGGATAGTCATTCACAATCTTATGATGATTATGGTGAAGGATGCAATGAATCATATGATGATGATTATAACCAAAAGGGACAATACCAAGACGAACAAGGGTACCAGGATCAGTATGGCTATGAGCAGCCATACATTGAACCTACAGAACGATTTGAAAGTAATTATCAAAAACATCAGCAACCTGGGGATCAATATCAGCAGGAACAGTATTCTGAAGATAGTTATCAAGGAGATTATCAGCAACAACAGGAAGATCATTATGGTGGTGTTGGAAGAAATCGAGATGTCAGAAGTAGACTAGGAGGACGTCTCTCTTTAAACCAAAATCCTCATCATCTTCAGGTAATTTATCATTTGAGTCCATAAAGTATTAGTGAGTAGTCTTTATTTCCTTCTTGATGGAAAATTTACTTCAAAATTTGAATTATGACCACCAATTGGCTCTAGGATTTGTGTCTTACCAGACATCATATTTGCAGAACTTAAAATGTTACCTTACCACTTAAAATACTTTGCAGTAACTGCTATTTGGAGCCCACTTCACTTTACTGCAGTTTCTTAAAGCAAACACTGTTGAGAACCTCCCATTCAGTCTGTAAAATCAGGAAATTTCTCACTGCAACACTGTCAAAGAGCAAATCAAAGAAGCTTCTTCCTGGGTGATTTTAACCCCATGGAAATTTTTATAAGTAATTCTGGTAAAAGATATTGGTAAATTATATTCCTCTAATCATCATATTGTAGAATGTATTTTAGTTCATGTTTCCATGAAATCATATGATATTTCCATTGGCAGTCATATTTATTCTTCTGAGCCACATTTACAGAGTTTTGGTTAACTTATGAGAGAAATTCTTTTATCCAGTAATTGTTTTGGGCAACTTTCATGTGAAAGATTTTGATAATAGTATATATTATCCACCAAATTAATATTTGATTTGGAGAATGATTATAATCGACAAGTACGGGTAGTAGGAGTTTCGCCCATCTGATTAAAATCTTCTGGGTTCTAGGACAATTGACAACTGTGCCCCCCCCCCCAAATTGCCAGTGAATTCGTACTGACATTTACTGTTTTTATAGGGAAAAGAACGAATTTACCAATAATTGGTATAAAATGTGGAAGTAACACTAAGAATCAATGTTTTAATTTATTTTATTTGTTATGCATAATAGTACTGAATTGCTGTACAGTACTGTATACACACAAAATCCACCAATCACACAAAAAAATTTTTTTTTTACCACTTACAGTACAAGTCTCCCAGAAAACTGAAATTAGTTAACACTGATAAAATAATGTTGAGAAGTGAGACGTGGAAAAGACATTTAAAGTTTTTATGACATATATCACACACTAAAATTGCAAGTTGTGGGCTATTCCCTTCAAGAAGTCAACATAGCGGTTCTCAAAGCCCTGTACGATGGTTGTTATTCTGGCTGTTGAATCATGATAACATTTCTGCTTAGGTGGTGCTGGAATGAAGTAATGTTTGCTTGCATGTGGTTATGCCATCCTTCTAAGGAGTTGTTGGTGTGAGGTAAATCTTCAAAAACACGATCATACATACTCCACATGCTGACAGGGAAACGTGGAGCTCGCCTGTTATGTCGACATTGTCTGCCAATGTATATATCTCCCAAGTAGTTTGACAAGATCTGCTTCAGGTGGCATATTCTCTAGCGGTGTCCTAAATGTGTCGACCACATCAACTTGTGAGATTAAGGCCAGAGTTGGTAGCATTTGAATAGTCATGGCAAAGTCAGCATCAACTTGATATTTTTCTTGAAAACCCTCAGATTGTACCTTGTGATATGTTTTGTGATAAGGGGTAGAAACATGCAATGACAGCTATGTTGGGGAAGACCTATTCAATGACATTCCTGGCAACTTGTTCAAAGTCGATTAGAAAGGTTTTTGGATTGAGTAAATATGTTTTGTCTGGGGGGGGCAGTTTTCCTAATACCAATCTTCTGATATTTGCCAAATAAATATTAAAAGTGGTATCCCATAGTGAATGAGTTAATGAATTGGTGTTCTAGGTAGTGACCTAAGGGGAGATGAAGTAACTTCCTTTACCTGAACCAAACTTAACCAGTTGACAACTCCCTTTCATCACACTTTAAAATTATTAGATAAATTTGTGTCTCGAAAGGTTTCAAGTAAATATCCAAGACAAAAGATGGCTGAGATCGAGATACCAAAACCGATACTGATTCCTAAGAACCTTAAAATTTGCTTGAGGAATTAATGGATCTTGAATAAAATATATGATAGAGGTGATTGAAGGATAGTGTAAGAGGTAATAAGGACTTCTGGGATATATGGTACAGGAAATTGTTGAATGCCAGTCAGATTTTAGGGTGAGAGTGAAACCTGTGCCAGAGAAAGTAAAAAGAAGGGAATTTGTTCCAGTAAATGCAGGTCTTAGTCAAGGATGCATATTGTAGCTATGGTTATTCATTATTTTCATGGAGAACTGGAGTAGGAAGTAGATTTTTTATTAAGGAATACATTTTGCAAATGTGACAAATCAGATATTGTTTGCTGGTAATAAAACTTTAAACATTTGTGTATGGGGTCCTCTCTGAGCTGAATAAAATAGTTTGGTATTAGCCAAATAAAATATTAAAAGTGGCATCCCCATGGTGAAGGGTTTAACAGGCAATTCAGAAGAGAAATGTTATAAATGTTAGTGAAGAGACACAAGGAAAATTATATGTCACGTTGAATGGAGGAAAGTGAGGTGTTAAGATATATGAGTGGAAATATCACCTAATGGAACAGTTAGTGACAAATTGAATGACTGAAAATTGAAGATACATTACAAAATAAATGGAGAAAGAACTGTGTCAAATAAGCAAAATTAGGAAGTAGAGACTAAATGTTGAGCCATCATTACTGGGACTGAGGCATGCACTCTGGATGCAAGAGAAAGAAACATCGAAAGTGACAGAAATAATGAACTTGAAAGCATTTGTAGGGTAAATTGGGTGCAGAGAATAAGTGATAAAAAGATTAGATGATGAAATGGAAATAAGAATGTCACACAGCTGACCTAGGTTTGCTAAAGTCATAAGAAATGAAATAGGGTGAGGTGGCCATTCATTGGTCAGGTATTGGCTTTAAGTAGCTTTCCATCTTTCTTGCCTTTATCCTCTACAGGGAGGGAAGGCAACCAATGCACAAACCCCTCTCATTTGAGATGGCTGGGTAGAGGGGAAGAAAGGGTGATCGGCAGATCAACCCTGGCAAATACTAGGGGTTAAACTGAAGGGTTCATGGGCACTCATATACATCACACCTTACTTTAAGAAAAGTAGAGTCAAACATCCATTTTATTGCACAATTTCAGTTAAAATAAACAGTGAATCAGCTCATGTTAAATATGAATTTTTTTCAGGTTAAAGTAGTGCAAACATCTCCACGAGAGCAGACACCTCCTGGCACCCAGAGCCAGGTTGGACAAAAGATCCAAACAGTTCAAAGACAGCCAGCAACTATAACTCGCAAATATCGAAAAATCATACGAAAAAACTTGAAAGGAGAAATAGTGTTTGTAAAAAAGGTAAGTGATACACAATTAGTCATATGACAAACCAGTGTAGATATAATCATGGTTGCATCATGATTCTGTTCATAAATCTGTACAATACAGCAATTGATAAATTGGATGAATGCTTATCTGAACGTAGTTGTTAGTTATTATGTATTTTTCATGTTCATGAAGGAAATTTAAGTATACAGTACAGTCATTTTAGAAGCTATAGTAAGCATGTGCTAGGTGTGTGTTGATACTGTATAATTGGTACAAAATATAAGCCGTGTTCCATTTTTGAGTGATGAAGTCTGCTGCTGTAATAATGTGTTACTGAGGTTATTTACTCAAATAATTTTAAATTATGAAATAAAGCACATGTTGGTAACTGCATTCACCTCCTCATCTAATGGTGGTCTGGAGTTGGTTCATATAAGTTGTCGAGTTCCACTTCTTGATTTTGGGTTATTTTACAAGAGAAGCACATATTCTGAACTATATATCTTAAATTACATACATATTTATATATGTTCAGTGCATAATACCCTCTAATCCATTTTAAATTGGGTTGTAAAATAACCAGAATCTAGAATGCTTCTCCGTGTATTGTTGCCATTTATTGATTCACTCATTTGCAATAACTGAAATGGTGACTGCAACATTCATCATTTGTTACTACAGTAGAACGTCGATTTATAGCAATTTAATTTAAGTTTATTGATTTAAAGCGACACCCACAATTAAGGACAATGATTTAATTTAAAGCGAATCTTTCCTGTTTTGCACGAGTCAGTCTGGCACATCATATTTTAAAATTCGCGCCTAATGTTTCTCTGGGCATGCTACACTGTCCTAAGGGCAAAGCTGTACGGTAAATGTACTCCAAATAATGCATGTGCGACCACACACCTTGAAAATTACAGTCCATTTTATTTTCTTGTGTTTATGACAAAAGTTTTTAGTAAACATAACATTGTTTCATTAGCTACCAATATTTTTGTGAGTTGAAATATATTTATTAATATTGGATAAACTATTTATGTATAGTACACATTGATTTTACGCGAGTAAAGTTTGTAAGTGGCAATTTTCAATGAGTGGGCCCAACTTGATAAAAACATTTGCTTTTGTCTGTGCAGTCATATGTGTTTAAGAATATAGAATATTGTGAATCAAAATAGTTTCAATAGCACACAATTCAATTGTCTTCCATTGGACAGAGAACTGTATGAGAGGAAGAAAAATTGGGAATGTATGGAAGAACTATTGAACTGACATCATTGTATAGGTGTGAAGTTTAGAGTCAGGATGCAAGAGGAAAAAGTATTTTAGAAGCAACAGAAATATCTTATTGAGAGTATTGTGAGATGAATAGGATGCAGCGAATAGGAAGGAAAAGTGGAAATAAAGGAAGTGTTGGACACAGAGCTCACCATGGTTTGATATGATGGTAAAGACATACGTACAGTATTCAGAGAATGAGAAATAAAATATTTGTAAACTGGGTACATAATTCAGAAGTATACTGTATGCTGAAAGGGAAAGGAGAAAATCAAGAAAGAAAGGTAAAATGAAGGAACTACAATAGTAGAAGTGAAGGGGATAGACATACAGTGACCCCTCGTTTAACGAACGCCTCGGTTAACGAAATTTCGGTTAACAAACTGCCTTCCATAAGGATCTTCAATTCGGTTAACGAACAAAAATTTGGTTAACGAATTTCTTACGAACCGACCTCAACATGTTTTCGCTTGCACTGACCGGGCAACCAGCTTTAGTATCAGTCCGCCAATACATTAATCGGTTCTAGGGTTTAAATTCCTTACTATTTTAGTAAATATCAAGAAGTTTATACTATTCAATAATTTTAAAAGTTTAATATTCAATTTTTTACTCATTTTAACAATTATTGAACATAATTGAAGGTAAAGTGACTAGTTTAATGCGCATCCAGCCTCTTAACACAGCAAACAGGCGTTAGTCTCTCTCTGTTTTCACTGGAGGTAACATCTTGCTTGAGACTCTCTTCAACTAAACGCTTTTTGTCTGTGTTTCCAAGCAAATTATTGGTCATTTTGAAGTATATTTTACATATTGACAATATATAATGCAGTGCAGTGTTGATTTAAAGAAAATAATCTTGAATTACACCAAGAGAGCTAAAATTTTATGGGTGAAATGGTGCCATGGGGTGACTTCTCTTCCACCCCAATGCCTTCTCTTCTTCCTTCTCCTCCACCCCCATTCTAAATCCCATCATCATCATCATCATCATCATCATCCAGGAGCCTTCTACATACACACCTCAAAGTAAGTGAACTTTTCTACCATTTTTGTTGAATTTAGGAAATTTTCGGTGAGCTGGAACCAATTACCCAAAAACCCATTGAAACAATGGTTTCGGTTAACGAACGACCTTCTGGAATGGATTGAGTTCATTAACCGAGGGGTCACTGTATCTGTATAGGAGAACATGACATGTAATAGTTAATGGGTATATTACTGTAGTCAGATGAATGGGTGAAAGAGTCATGCAGGAGTATTAAAAATGTAACCCAAATTTTCTTAATTCTTTTAGATACCTGTTGATGAAGAAGGCAATCAAATCGGACCACCAATAGTCGAATATGAAGCAAATAAGTCGGCTGTAGATGGAGCAGATAACACACCTTTAGTGAACCAACAGCAAGTAAGTGTAATAGGTTTAAGGCAGGGGTGGCCAACCTGTCGATCACATGACATAGTTAAACTTAATGATCCATCCTTCATAAGCTGCCAAACAAAAAGCATATTCAAATTTTACTCATTGGGATATTATTTTTGTTTAGATTTTTTCTTGGAATAGATTATCATTATGGACGCATCAGAATGATACATACAGAAAAACTTTGACTGTGCCATGCTATATGTGGTGGAACCTGATAGGAATTGTTCGCGTTCATACTTGCCGGTGCTGGCTGGTTCCTGGTGAGGAAACTGATCAGCAACTTGTCATCAATTGTAGGCTAAAACTAAGCACATATTTGCTTTTATAAGTTTACAAATATACATGTTAAACCTTGTATTAATGAATTTGGTAATGAAAAAGTCGACTCAATATTAAGGAGTCTTGTTAAAAGTAAAGAGAAAATCGTATTTGACAACCCTGTCCCTATGAGCCTACACACTTGTCACCAACAATGCAGTGATTTTCAGTCATCTGCAATACTTGGAGGTGTGAGGTGCTGTCTTGTTATGGAAAAGTCTTGGGTGATTACGAGAATTGCTGACTTTTTAGCTTAGCAACAGTTCTTGCCGCAACCCTAGAGTAGACAGAAGTGTCCACACTAGCTGGCGAGAATTGCATATGAAAAAAAAAGAGAGTTAAAAACATTATGCTGTTTTGGTTAGTAATTCTCATACAGTAATACCCTACTTTACGCGGTTTCACTTTCTGCGATTTCGCATTTACGCGGTACCTCGCCAGAACCGGACTTTCACTTTACGCGGTGCATCTACTCATATACGCGGGAAGCGGCACGGGCAGGATGCGCACAAGGTCGCCCAGTCATCAAAACATTACCGAGTTCTTCACCCGCCACCCACCACAGCCGGCCCAAGTCAGTGATAGTGAGGATATGGACTAATATGGACTTTGAGGGGTTTGACAAAGAGGCCCTGCAAGCCTATGTGGTGGATAGTGATACAATTGATACAGGTGAGGGCCAATAATCTGCCCTCTGCCTTGGAACCAACCCCCTATCCCTGTGTGCCCAGCCATCTTTTCTACTAATGTAAGTGTTAAAAAAACTAATATTTTTGATATTTCTCTGAATTATTAATTGTGTGTGCATACCATCATAAAATTAAGATGTAATTTTTACTACAACGTAGATATTGTGTCTGAAAAAGTGGAGTTTGGGGGTCGGGCCAGTCTCTATTGGAATTAATCCCATATGCTCTGTTGTTCACTTTACGCGGTTTCCGCGGTACCCCATGGGTTCAATTGACCGCGTAAATCGGGGTACTACTGTATTCACATTGGAAAAGTCATGGAAAAAAGTAATTCTCGTATTCACATACGATTTTTTCTTTTCCATATACCTGTACTGTACAGGTTATTGGCCATCAACTGAACCAAAAATGAGTTCTGGACCAAGTACTAAAAAGACAAAAATTTACCATTTTCACAGTGAATGGGAAGAAGTCTTTTTTTTTTTTTTACCATGAATAATTTGAAGTGTGTGTGTCTGATCTGCCATGCATCTCCAGCTCTAGGCATTTCAAAAGTTTTCACAATAAGTATGATAATGATTTCCCACCCAAAAGTGAGCTACGAAAGATGAAAGTTCATGAACTGAAATCACAGCTTACTGCACAACATTCTTTTTACAGGCACGAGCTCAAAATCAAGGGTAACAACCATTGTATCATTCAGGGTGAGTCGAGTACTTACAAAGCATAAAAAAACATTTCAAGATGGAGAAATATTCAAAGAGGCCTTTTTAGAAGCAGCTGATTTGTTGTTTCAAAATTTCAAAAATAAGTCTGAAATACAGTACTGTCTTCTCTTAAGGATGTTCAATTATCAAGAAACACTGTCAAGAGGCACTGTGAATTTGTGGCTGAGGATTTGGGTGAACAACTGAATAAAGACTTGCGTGAGTGTGTGTTCTTTTCATTACAATTTGATGGCCGATACACCATAATTATGCATTCTCATTATAATGGTGTTTAAAGACATGAGTACCAAAGAGGAACTGCTGAAAATTCTACAATTAAAAGGAAAAACTCGGGGCGAAGACAGATTTCAGACTTACAGTGATTTTGTTAATAGTACACAGTTGCCAGTGAGTAAGCTTGTATATATAACAACTGAAGGAGCACCTGGAATGGCTGCCGAATCTGTGGGTTCATTGCCCTGTGCAGGAGTGATGATTGGTTCCTAAGTTTTTTTTTTGGCCTCAAAAGATCGGCCTCCTGATCACAATGAAGATTTAAACTTTTAAGTTGACTGACTGCTATGCTAAATAAACTGAACTTAGATCTGCAAGGGAAAGATAAAACTCTAGTTACATGATTAGTGCTATGTCTGCTTTCAAGCAGAAACTAAAATTAGTGTCTTCACAGCTGCAGCAACATCAACTACGAAACTTCAGAAATATTATGTCTGAAATAGAAAACCAAGGAAAAGACTGTGACCAGTTTGACAGTGCTTGATATATTGAACTGCCTCAGATTTTGACAGACGATTTGAAAATATAGCAACAATAGAACCTGTTACAACATATACAGTGGTCCCTCGATTAACGAACGGTTCAATTAACAAAATTTCGGTTAACGAATTAGCTCCCATAAGGATTTTCAGTTCCATTAACGAACAAAACTTCGATTAACGAAAACCTTAGGAGAAGCACGCTCTGTTGTGTGCATCAGCTGATCGGCTAGTCCGCCAATACAGTAATCGTTTCTATGTTTACATTCGTTTCCAGTGGAGTAAATATCAAGAAAGTTGTGTTCTTGAATATTTTTGCTTTTTTTATATTAGAATTATTGGTCATTCTAAAATTTAGCCATCCAAGCTCTGTCTACATAAAGTTTTCAACTAATATTTTTGGCTTGATATATGTAACTTTATTAATTATTTTTACTCATTTACATGCACACACTGTCCGAAGGGCAAAGCTGTACTGTCCATGTACTCAAAATGATATAATAAATGATCACAAAGATTTTTGTCTAGTGCAAACTATAGCACGTTTATATTCAAATTAATCACTATCTTATAAGAATTCCAGCAATGTAAATTATATTCTCCCCCGTCACTTCTGTGACATTTTGTAAGCAAAATAAAAAACTCAATCTCAAGGACATAAATAATCAAATAAATACTTCACTAGACCTTCGACACTAACTGTCAAACATGTCACCTCCCCTTCCTCCTTCCCCCTTCCCAGCCAGGGTTTGGTGGTTATAGGCTTAAAGTTTTTATCTTTTATTATATCACAGACTAGAGTTAGGAGAATATAATTTGCATTGCTAGAATCCTTGCAAGACAGTGGATAATTTGAATCTAGACATATATTTTCCGAATGATTTATTTTTTTTACTTTCATTTATTGTATTTTTTATTTTTTTCTTAAATTAGGTGATTTTAGATGTATATAAGGACTTAGGCTATGATATAGTGGGATTTTAAACATTGTTCTGTAAGGACGGTATGAACATAGGGTATGTGGTTTGAGTTAAGTACATTTTCGACTTAAGAACGTCTGTAAGAACGGAACTTGTACGTAAGCCAGGGACTGCCTTTACAGTAAATCTTTTCTTCATCAACCAAGTTGTATGAGACAAACTGAAATGAGATATCCACTTTACTGTAATACCTCATGACTATTCCATAATCATCTGCCACATGTGGAGTAAGGGATGTAACAAAGGGCTCCATCTATCTGACTTTGTACTATCTGGTCTAAAGCTCAACACCTGTGAATTTTCTGAACTAAATCTCACTTAGGACTTGATTGTCAGATGGAGATGTTTCTTGGATTTGAGGGTATAGGGCAGGAGGTCATGGTTACCAGAACCATTTTGTAAAAAAATTCTTCAGCTTCATGTGAAGAGTTTTGTTATGGTTATTGTTGTGAATCTTCATACAGTTGTTTTCCTGCAATTTTTTTTTTTTTTTTTACATTTTGAGGATTAGGTGAGAGTTCAATGTCAACATTGTCCTGCATGTAAAACTATTTTTGTTTTTGCAAAGGATTATGATGTTTCCCTTGTATGTCTCACTCAAGTTTCTCGTGTACCTTATTTCCCAGGAGGTGAAAGTACCTGACAAATTTGAGATCTAAAGATTATAGATCAAGAACAACTAGAATCTGAAGATTAAACTAGTCTTTGCCATCTTAATTTGAGTTCGAGTTTGCATATTTTATTTAAACTTGATACACTGTACTCTTGATAATTCAGATCATTATAATTTGGATTTTGGCTTAATTCTTTTTTTTTTTTTTTTTTCGTATTCCCGGCAGCTTTGTTTACATATCAAACAGCTGATTGTAGAGGCAGTCGATGATGACATGCCATATTCTTTACAGAGTGCATTGGTTGTAATGCCTTCTTCATGTTTCCTAATAATTTCTGCACTGTATATTATCAAAATGTTAACTAAATTTCAGAATGACCAATAATTTTAATGTAGAAATGCAAAAATATTCAAGAGACCAACAAACTCGATGTTCACTCCACTGTAAACAAAGTTAAACTGAGAAGCGTTGGTGGGTGATTCAATCAGCTGATGGGCGCACAAAAACTGTTCCCTGTACTGTCTATATTATCAATATGTTAACTAAATTTCAGAATAACCAATAATTTTAATATAAAAAATGCAAAAATATTCAAGAGCATAACTTTCTTGATATTTAGTCCACTGGAAACGAATGTAAACATAGAATCAATTACAGTGGGGTATGCTGTAACGAATCTAATTGGTTCTAGAACCTTGTTCGTTATAGCATTCATTCGTTATAGGATTAATCCTTTCCAGGCCCCCAAATACAACTACTTAACACTGAAAAATATAATATAAAATTGTAAAAATTGTAAAAAAGTGCATAAATATGCATCTAAACCCCTGAAATAAAGAATATCATTAATACTTGTAATAAAACAACAATAAATTAGTAAAAAAAATTTTTTTTTTTTTTAAATAATGTTCGTTGTAGGAGTTTCGTTCGTTATAGCATTCTCAATTTTATAGGTAAAACCATTCGTTATAGGAATATTCGTAGTAGGATCCGTTCGTTATAGCATACCCCACTGTACTGTATTGGCGGACTAGCCGATCAGCTGATGCGCTCAACAAAGTGTGTTTCTCCTAAGGTTTTCGTTAATCGAAGTTTTGTTCGTTAATGGAATTGAAAATCCTTATGGGAGCTAATTCGTTCATTGAACCATTCGTTAATCGAGGGAACACTGTATGCCGAACTCAGTTAATTTGGATTTTTCAGTAAATCAGGTGACTCAACCTTTAAGTCGAATTAATGAGGGTATAGTATACATAGGTTTTTGCAAAGAATAATTTGCATATAGGTTTTAGGCACCAAAGATAATAAGTCAAGATCATCAGAGCTCTGCTTGTATAACTTCTTTTTGTTACATATCATTACTGTATTTCTTCAGCAGCAACGTGTACCTGTAGTCAAGACTTTAAGACAAATAGTGAGGAAGGTGCCCATTTCTCGACAACAACAGCAGCAACAGTCTCAGCCCCAGATTAAATTGCGGGAGATTCCACAAATTGATCAGACTACACAGCAGCAACAACAACAACAGCAACAACAAGTTAAAGTTGTAAAGAGGACAATTGTGTCTTCAGGAGATATGTCATCACAGGTTAGGAAAAGAGTTTACTGTTTGGAATACAGGGTATATTTGTTCTGAATTTACAATTTTTATTTTCATATCATAACAGAAATACAGTAATACAGTAGGGTCGGGATATATCGCAAGATAGGGTCCAAGGATATTTGCTATACTTATACTAAATTGCGATATATATTTACATGTAATCAGTGGGGAAAATAGGGTTAGGTTATGGAGGCCAATAAAAGTGACTAAACTTGACATAAAATGGCACAGTCTAAAGTTAGCAGAATATAAATTGCTTTGGGAATCCTTGTAAGACAGCGAATAATTTGAATATCGACATAATATATTTTGCACAAGAGATAAAAATTTTAGTCCTTTGTACTAAAATGTACTAATTAGTACTAAAATTTTTATAGCTATTGCGAATTGTAGCACGTTTATATTCAAAGTAATCACAATCTTATAAGGATTCCAGCAATGTTAATTATATTCTCTTAAGTCAATTCATTAACATTTTATAAGAAAAAACATAAACTCTCCCCTGTATAGCAGATAAATAAATACTGTACCACTAGATAACCTTGTCTGGCTCCGGCCCAGCTGTCATAATAAATCAACTCTCCTCCGTCTTCCAGTAAGAGTGACTGTGGTTTTTAGGCTTAAAGTTTTGATCTTCTAAAATGTCACAGACTAAAGTTAGCAGAATATGAATTGCATTGCTGGAATCCTTGCAAGACAATGAATAATTTGAATATAGACATCAAAAATTTTGCACAGAAGATCAAAAACAATTAAACTCATATTTTTTGGGCTATTTAGGGAATTTTTAGGAGTATTTCTGACTTTATACGGTTTTTGGCGCAATGCGAGGTCCCAAGAACATAACCCCACGTAAGTTGTGAGTCTACTGTAAATAAATTTATCGCTATATATTGGAAAATTTCGATAATTTTGGTAGTAGTGATAAATTTGAAATACAGTTGTACCTCGCTTTATGCGGTTTCACTTAACGCGATTTCCCATATACGCTGTGCCTCGCCAGAACCGAACTTTCACTTAACGCGGTTCATCTACCCATATACGCGCAGAGTGTCTGGCTCGAGACGCTATTTTTAGATTCGCCCCACCCGCCACCCGCTGCTCCCGCCTGCCTCGCCTCTCCCTCCTCCTCCCTCCCTCCCGCCTCCCTCCACCTGGGCAAGCCGCGCTGTAAGGTTGCACAGTGTGTGTGTCTTCTACTAACGTAAGTGTTACACCTAACTTTTAGTTTTCCTAACCTAACCTTTATTTTTCCTAACCTCTTCTATATTACTTGTTTGTTCATACCATCATAAAGTTAAGATAAAATTTTTACTACAACATAGTTGTGTGTCGTCAAAAAGTGGAGTTTGGGGGTCGGGCCAGTCTCTATTGGAATTAATCCCATATGTTCTGTTGTTCCATTTACGCGGATTTCACTTAACGCGGTACCCTGTGGTTTCAATTGACCGCGTAAATCGGGGTACAACTGTATATCATGCCCGATTTCTGTCGCGAAATAAAAAAAATATCACTATATACCTGTACAGTGACCCCTCCGTTAACGAACTCAATCCGTTCCAGAAGGTCGTTCGTTACCCGAAAAGTTCGTTCACCGAAACCATTGTTTCAATGGGTTTTTGGGTAATTGGTTCCAGCTCACCGAAAATTTCCTAAATTCAACAAAAATGGAAGAAAAGTTCACTTACTTTGAGGTGTGTATGTAGAAGGCTCCTGGATGATGATGATGATGATGATGGGATTTAGAATGGGGGTGGAGGAGAAGGAAAAAGAGAAGGCATTGGGGTGGAAGAGAAGTCACCCCATGGCGCCATTTCACCCATAAAATTTTAGCTCTCTTGGTGTAATTCAAGATTATTTTCTTTAAATCAACACTGCACTGCATTATATATTGTCAATATGTAAAATATATTTCAAAATGACCAATAATTTGCTTGGAAACAGAAAAAAAGCGTTTAGTTGAAGAGAGTCTCAAGCAAGATGTTACCTCCAGTGAAAACAGAGAGAGACTAACTCCTGTTTGCTGTGTTAAGAGGCTGGATGCCGCGCATTAAACTAGTCACTTTACCTGCAGTTATGTTCAATAATTGTTAAAATGACTACAAAATTGAATATTAAACTTTTAAAATTATTGAATAGTATAAACTTCTTGATATTTACTAAAATAGTAAGGAATTTAAGCCCTAGAACCGATTAATGTATTGGCGGACTGATACTAAAGCTGGTTGCCCGGTCAGTGCAAGCGAAAACATGTTGAGGTCGGTTCGTAAGAACTTCGTTAACCGAATTTTTTTTCGTTAACCAAATTGAAGATCCTTATGGAAGGCAGTTCGTTAATCGAATTTACGTTAACCGAGGTGTTCGTTAAACTAGGGGTCACTGTATAGGAAAATCTTGATAATTTTGGTAGAGGTGATATAAAAAATCATTATATAAAGTCGCTATATATCCCGACCCTACTGTATTATTTTCTCATTTTCGACTTACGACCTGGTTGTTGGTCCTTAACCCCGTCGTAAGTCGGGGACTGACTGTAATAGCACGAGGTAAAATTTTTTTAGGCAGTATGAGGTACAGGACACTTGTTTTGGTATATTATTACTATTTACACTATTAAAAATCATTATTACTACTCCAGTAATTGATAACGATACTAGACATATAATTGGGGGGGTGGGGGTAGAAACACATGGCAAAGTGAGTTACGTCCAAAGGTAAATGAAAGATAAATAACATATGGGATTAAATGAAATAGAGACCAGCTGACCCCCAAACTCCACTTTTTACAACACAATACCTATGTTCTAGTAAAAATAACATCTTAATTTTATGATGGTACATGCACACAATTAATACTTAAGAGAAATACAGTCGCCAAGTTAATGTCCGTTCAAATAATGGACTCCACTCCCTCCCCCTCTTCTCACAGTACACTCACTGGCTCTTCCCTCTGAGAAATTTTGGGGGGAAAACCAGGTATAGTAATAAATAATATCTCAAACTAAAGTTAGGATAATATAATTGACATTGCTGGATTCCTTGTAAGACCAGGAATATTTTGAATATAAATGTCATATATTTTTCACAAAAGATAACATATTTACTCAGAGTAAACATTACATCTAAAATTTGTATGTCTAATGCAAAATCTATGATGTTTATATTCAAAATGATCATCAAATTGTAAGAATTCCAGCAATGTAAATTATATTCTGGCCGGGTAATTTGTATGAATTTTATGAGCTAAAACAAATATCTTGTTAATAAAAAAAAAATATTCTTCACGACACTATCTGTCAATCAGAGTGGGTGAAAAAACTAGATTTTAACATTTAGTATTAAATAATACCTCAGATTAAAGTTAGGATAATATAATTGACATTGCTGGATTCCTTGTAAGACCAGGAATATTTTGAATATAAACGTCATATATTTTGCACAAAAGATAACATACTTACTCAGAGTAAAAATTATATCTAAAAATTTTATGTCTAATGCAAAATATATGATGTTTATATTCAAAATGATCATCAAATTGTAAGAATTCCAGCAATGTAAATTATTTTCTGGCCGGGTAATTTGTATGAATTTTATGAGCTAAAATAAAAATCTTCAGTTAATAAAAAAAAAATATATTCTTCACACATGCCAGGTGGTCGGTCGCGGTCCCTCCCTCCCCCCCACCCCCCACCAACCGTCCCTACTAGATAAATGTGTGGGAATACCAGACTGTTTACCTTTTTAGTAATAAATAATAAATCAGACTAAAGTTAGGATAATATAATTGACATTGCTGGATTCCTTGTAAGACCAGGAATATTTTGAATATAAATGTCATATATTTTGCACAAAAGATAACATATTTACTCAGAGTAAACATTATATCTAAAATTTGTATGTCTAATGCAAAATCTATGATGTTTATATTCAAAATGATCATCAAATTGTAAGAATTCCAGCAATGTAAATTATATTCTGGCCAGGTAATTTGTATGAATTTTATGAGCTAAATAAAAAAATTATACTTCACCGCGGAATGTGAGCATCCTGGGTTCTGGCAGGGCACCGTGTAAACGTGGAAACGTGGAATGTGGGACAAGTTGATACTTCGCAGTTCAAAACGTCATATGACATGACCCGAAGCTCTACAGACGCATGTCATATGACGTGATACAAAGCCAAGAGGTAAATCAGTTGTTAAGTGTACAAGTAGACAAATCAGGCCTTCAGGTATCACTCAAAGGTATAAATAATATTAGGAATGTATCTTAATATCCAGTACTATACAGTACCTGTACTCTTATGTTATAATGACCCTGTTGTAAGCTGATTTGCTGAAAGCTCTCTCTCTCTAGGAATGCATCCTGAGATTTCAAGAGGTACATGTTGGCCTCTCAAATTTGTGCTAATTGGTATCCCACCGTGGCTGAATTTCTGAAAGGCACAGATTGAGAATAAACAGTAAAAACATAGGAAAATTTGTTAGTCACTTGCTAAAAAACTATATCTAATTGTACAACATAAATTGCATATGTCAAAAATAAACAAATATATCTATGATAGCAATAAAATTGATTCACAGCATACTGTATCATAACATACAATAGTACATATTTTATGTATAGCCAATTTACCATTATATGATGGGGTTATGGACCTCAAAAAGCCATTGCTAAGTGATAAAAATTATGTCGATATTAATAACTTTTGGAGAAAAATAGGTTCCATTCCGATGCCCTTGAAGAGCCAAGTTACATGTCCTTTATTGATACATTAAAATCAAAATGCACTCAGCATTGATTCAATTACAGTACTGTACATTGAAAATACATAAAAATAGTTTCCCTAAAATAACACTCAAAATAAAGAAGCGTCGGCATTCTTTACATTTACCCGCTTGATCTTCATGGACCCTATAAATGAGTGTTGTAACACATTACCATAACTCATTCAGTAACCAGAATCTTTCTGACTTGGAAACTGTTCGTTGCAAAGAATCACAAAGCAGGACACAGCTGACTCCCAGGGTCACACAAAAGAAATGAGGTCATAACTTAGAAAATTTGTATAGGTGAATTTTTATATCTCAAATATTCATTTAGCAAGGGATACCTGTACAGTATTCTGATTTTATTTTAGTGCCAGTTTTGTAAATAATTTTTTTTTCTTATCAAATTAAATAGTTTTTTGGAATACTAAAGATATGTGTTCCACTTTCTTTCTTAATACAATAACAATAAATGACATGAGTTAATGTTTAATTAAAGTTATCTCAAGTAAAATTGGATTAAATTAATTTTTATTTTTCAGTCAAATTCAACAGGTCGGCGCATAGTGACAGCGGGTACTCCACAAACAAGCAGTGGTGGAGTTGTGCATCGTCCCAGTGGTGGGACAGTGGTCCCCGCGTCCAGGCCATCTGATATCCAGGACTATGGTAAGTGTAAACTTATATTATTATTATACTGTATCCCCTCTGTCTATTTGTATTCAATATGCTCTTCCTTGAAGTTTGTTGTCTTCATTGAAACATATGGACCAGTTGCACTGGAAAATTTTCAAATTATCATATTCACCCAAATTTAAATATTTTCTGTTTTTAGTCTGGTTTAACCATATCTTCCCATGTGTTATTTTTACCCCCCGCCCCTCTTTTTTTTTTTTTTTTGATCGACCAAAGGATACAGAAACCTAGTACTATTGAAAATTAGTGCACAACAGGTGCAGAAAATGACACGAAATGGCTTAGATGAGGCTCATTCATATAAAATTTGTTTGGAAATTGGTACAGAGTGTTTCAGGGTACAGGGGGTCCCCAACTTACGAACACCTGCCGATATGAACTGGGTTAAACTTGAAATTTTTAGTATTTTATTTACCTGATGACTTATTTTTTACTTTCATTCTACTGTATTTTGTAATTCTATTTCTTCTTTTTTCCTAAATTAAGCGATTTTAGTTTTATATAAGGACTTAGGCTATGATATAGAGGGATTTTAAACATTGTTCTGTATGGATGGTATGCACATAGCATGTGTTCCGACTTACGTACAAATCCAACTTAAGAACATCCTCAGGAACGGAACCTGTTCATAACCTGGAGACTTCCTGTATTGAGACGAATTCTCTTATCCCCGGAATAAATTACACATCTAAGGATTTTTTCCCAGCATAGGTGAATGTTTCCATGTCTAAACTATGCATCTGGCATGGAACACTGCTACAATATCTATTTTAGAATTTGGCAGAATGATAGCGTCCTGAAATGTGATTGGTGGGAGATCATCTAATTTGGAAAGTGTTGTTGGTAAATACTGAGTTTTATTGCTATTGAATTTAACCAAGTTTCTACCTCCCCATTCAGAGATGTGGCACAGATCCGCATTGATAGTTGTAATGATATCAGCTCAAGAAACAGATCTAGTTTGAGAGTTAGGGGGAAGGGGGATATGTGAATATGAGTGAAGAGTAGAATCATCAGTGTAAGAATGGATAGAATTAGTTTTAGTGTGAAGTAAATCATTGATAAAAAGAAGGAAGAGAGTAGGTGAAAGAACAGAACCTTGTGGGACACCACTATTGGTAGAGAAAGAGTGAGAGATCGATCCCTCGACAACAACTGCCATGGATCGGTTCTCAAGGAAGCTGGAGATTAGAAAACAAAGTGGGGGAGAGAAACCATAAGAGGTAAGTTTAGAAAGCAAAGACTTGTGCCATACCCTGTCAAATGCTTTGGAGATGTCGAAGGCCATGACAAAAGTTTCCCCATAATCCCAAAGAGAACTGTGTCGGCGCACTGGACACAGGTGCCCGAGGCGGGAAACAAACAGAGTTGCCAATGTCTGTTTGTGGGAATACAGTAGGATCTCAAGTTAAAGCGAGTTTTAGATTCGTGATTCATATGTTTTGCATCACGCTTAAAATTTCCAGCCTCTCAAGAATAGCAATTTTCATTACCAGTTTCGCGAGTCATTGGAGAGTGGGCAGCTGAGTGTTTTCAGTTTACGGCAGTTAGTTTGAATGAGCGAACGGTGCAGTGACCTTGGATTATATAACCCATTGTGCTTACGTTTTAAGAGATTCATGTTTAACTATTAATAATTCTTGTGCATTAGCGATTCTTGTGTTTACGATTCTTTTGTATTAGCGATTCTTGTGTATTAACGATGAGTGAAGTGCGTAATGTAAAAGTTGGGAGTGGTTCTGATGGTAATGATGGCCGTAGAGAAGGTCAACAAGGAAAGCCCCAAACCAAGCGTGACTACCATAAGGGGGTCAAGAAGAGGAAATACACCCCTGAAATTAAATGAGAGATGTTTGAAATGATCAAAAGTGGTACTCGTACCTGTGAAATCCTGTGTAGGTTCAACTGCCCCGAATCAACCATACGTTCACTTAAGAAGAACAAGGAAGCCTTAACTGCTTCTGTGAATGTATTCTCAAGATTTTCTAGTAACAGGACATTCTCTGATACTTCACAATGAAACCTACTGCTTGTTATCACAGAACATTACCTTCACAAGTGGGTGGAAAGAAGAAACCGTGAGCAGGGCGACCTGTCTAGACCACAACTAAGGCATCAAGCACGTGTTTATTATGCTGCAGTTACACAAAAGAAACGCGTTAACTCTCCACCACCGTTCAATGCTTCTGTTGGTTGGTTGGCTGCCTTTAAGATGCATTATGAAGTCAAGTTTGCCCACTACCATGGGGAGAGTGCATCGGTTGATGTCATAGCATCAGAAAAATATCTACCTGTCTTTCATGCTCTTGTGAAAGAGGGTGGTTATTGCCAAAACCAGATCTTCAATTGTGACGATACTGGCATTTTCTTGAAGCGCTCACCTAAGACCACTTTCATTGCCAAGGATAAAAAACAGGCAAGGGGTGTAAAGACTTCAAAGGGCAGGATTACAGTTTTGTTCACAGCTAATGCAAGTGGAGATTTCTTGATGAAACCCCTGGTTGTTAACCGTGCTGCCCATCTTAGAGCCTGCCGTCATGCCAATATGTCGCAGTTCAATGTTTATTGGACGTCTAATAAGAAAGCTTGGGTTACAACGTCTTTATTATGCACCGATTGGTTTCACAAGCACTTTGTTCCTGATGCCAAACAGGACTGCCGGAGGAAGAACATTGACTTCAAAGTGATCCTGGTGATGGATAATGCTCCTGGACACTCTTAAGTTTCTAATTGGACGCCACCCTAATGTACAAGTTATCTTTCTTCCTTCTTTCTTCCTAACACCACATCGCTTCTGCAGCCACTTGACAATGAATTCATCAGTAATGTTAAACTGTTCTACTATCAGTCACTCTATAAAGACTTTCGTCAGCAGACAGACTCATTATTTGAGTTACAACAAATCGAGGCAGAACTTTCTGACAGTGACCAGGCTCTACCAGCTAACCAGGAGGAGGAGGAGATGGTAGACGACCTGACTCCTAGCACCTCTCCACCCCGCAATCGTGAAGTGCTATCAGTTTGTGAATTATGAAAGAAATATAATACTATTAAAAATGCATGGGACAGAATTGTTGAGGCATGGCGTAAGATTAATGTTGCATGGAAGCCTTTGTTTGCTAACTCCGAGGTAAGTGGGGCAGAGCAGACCGAGGCAAGCGGGGAGAGGCAGTCCGTGGCGGCAACACTAATGGACAGAGTGGAGGCAGCGCTGTCTGTCCCAGCACCAGGATTTTCGGATGTTCAGGTTGAAGATTTGCAAGAAATCGTTGGTCAACATCAGCAGCAACCGACAATTGAAGAAATGTTGGAGGAGGATGAAGAACAAGAAGAACAACAACCAACACAAGAGGATGATGTTAAGCCTGGTGAACCTACAACACAGCAGCTGACTGAGATGCTGCTCATAACCATCACATGTCTCAGTGAACAGCTAGAAGAATACAATACTAGGCCTCTTCCTCAGAACCTTATCTGCCCTGTCCTTGATAAGGTTATGGAGGAATATAAGGCCATGTACATGTCCCGTGTTAATGCTCGTCAGCAGGCCCTTATTACTCGGTACCTGTGCAAGGCCCAGCCTGTTAATGCCTTGGTAAGCATCACTTTAGGAGATGATGATGGCATCATCGATGATGATATTGAAGTGTTGAGTGACTTGCTGGTGGAAGGGCTGCCTCAAGACTTTGAGGGATTCGATGCTGAGGTTAGAGTAGGGAGCAGGGAGGAAGCAGTAACCAGCCCTCTCTGCCTCGGAACCCATCAACCAGCCCTGTCAAGCATTTCACTGATTCCATTAAGGTGAATTATTCTACAGTATGAGTGTATATAAATATTGTTATCAACAATATGTACAATATAATATGTAGGAATACCTTACAGGAATTTCATTTTCTTGGTGGGTTGTTCGTCATTATAGGGAGGTTTGGGTGACACCGCAGAACTAATTAGGCTTATTTACATGTACTTCAATGTCACTTGTTTCGCGATTTTAACTTTTGCTACGCTGAAACCGGTACCAATTAGTCTTGAAACATGAGATCCAACTGTATTATTTCATTCACTAATAACGATAGTGTTTCTTATTATGTTATTGTAGGTAAATGCAGGGTTTATATAGTTTGTTTATCATTGTGCCTGTCACCATTTCAAATTAGACTTTAAGATATGCATTCCTCCCATGTGTATTTTGATTGTACGCCTGGTAACGGGTGCGAGTAAGGGGAGTAAGTGAGTCAAGTGACGGCTAGTTAGAGCAATGTCTGCAGTTGTGACTCCTCGCTTCCTGCCGTATTTCACTGGATTTATTGTTATTATTAGTGTTTACTGATATAATAGTGATTAATCATGGTATTATAGCCAGGTTACACTCATACAGTGGTTCCTCGGTTAACGAACGCCTCGGTTAACGAAATTTCGTTTAATGAATTACCTTCCAGAAGAATCTTCACTTCCGTTAACGAAAAAATTTCGGTTAATGAATTCCTAACGAATTTTTCCCAACATGTTTTTGTCTGCTTTTGGCTGCTCACCAGCTGTAGTATTAGTCCGCCAATACAGTAATCGGTTTTAGGGCTTAAATTCGTTACCATTTGAGTAAATATCAAGAAGGTTGTACACTTCAATAATTTTCCAAGTCTTATATTAAAATTTTTAGTCATTTTAACAATTATTTAACATAATTGAAGTACAGGGAACTAGTTTTTAGCGCGCCAAACAGCCACTTGACTCACCCAGAGTGGCGTCAGTTTGTGTCCCTGCTCAGAAATCCCATTGAAACAATGGTTTCGGCTAACAAAATTTTCGGTAAACGAACGACCTTCTGGAACGAATTGTGTTCGTTAACCGAGGAACCACTGTTCTGTATTAAATTTTTTATTCATCTTAACAATTATTGAACATAATTGAAGTACAGGAAACTAGTTTTTTGCGCGTCAAGCAGACACTCAACACACCAAGCTTGGCATCAGTTTGTTTACCAGTTCAGAGGAAGGAACATCTTGTTTGAGACTCTTCAACATAAATGCTTTTTTCTGTGTTTCCAGTCAAATTATTGGTAATTTTGAAATATATTTTACATATTGATAATATATAGCGCAGTGCAGTGTTGATTTAAAGAAAATCATCTTGAATTACACCAAGTGAACTAAAATTTTATGGGTGAAATGGCGGCATGGGGGGGGACTATTCTTCCACCCCAATGCCTTCTCTTCTCCCTTCCCATCATCATCATCATCATCATCATCATCATCATCATCATCATCATCATCATCATCATCATCAACAACAACAACCAGGAGCCTTCTACATGCACACCTCAAAGTAAGTGTACTTTACTGCATTTATTTTTAGTTTGTATGTAATTTTCGGTGAGCTGGAACCAATTACCCAAAAACCCGTTGAAACAATGGTTTCAGTGAATGAACTTTTCGGTTAACGAGCAACCTTCTGGAACGAATTGTGCTCATTAACCGAGGGACCACTGTAATTGTAACCACCAGGCTACTGGGCCAAGCTGCGAGGTTTTATGGTTGTTTTTCGACTCGTATTTTTGGGTAGATATGCAAAACTTTCTTCATTTATTTTTACTCGGTTACATGCACACACCATCCTACATACATATCGTGAAAAGAGTAAAAGAAATAATTCCCCTAAGGGCAAACACGTAAAGGGAATATACATTTCTTTGCACACAAGTGAGGTAGGGGAGGAGGATGCACAGTGTAGGGGGTGGGGAGCATTGCTAGGGAATCGGCGTCCCAGATGGTCTACGTTACTATGTTGGAACAGAGAGTGCTTGGCGCAAACGGTGCCGGCGACTTCTAGCTGAAGCCTTTGCTAATTTCTTGCACTGCTAACCCACGAGCCCTGAAAGGTTACTCTAAGGATCACCTTCCAGTGATCTACAAGGCAAACAAGAAGGCATGGATAACTGGCGCCATATTTAGCCAGCGGTTAAACGTGTACGCCGTCCCTGCAATGAAGGAATACTGTGCCAAGGAAAACCTTGACTTCAAAATTCTTCGATTGTTGACAGTGCTCCAGCTCATCCTCCCAATCTTGACGACTTGCATGACAGTGTAAAAGTTGTATTCCTGCCTCCCAACACGACAGAACTGATGCAGCCTATGGACCAAGGCGTCATCGCTGCATTCAAGGCATATTATTTACTCCGTACCATGGCCCAGCTGCTCAAGGCTACAGACGATGATAATAAACCTACGATTCAAGAATATTGGAGTGGCTTCAACATTCTTCATGCAATTGACAACATTGTCAAGGCATGGGAAGAGGTTTCAGAAAGTTGCCTGACTGGTGTGTAGGGTAAATTGTGGCCCGAGTGCATCAACAGTTTTATGGGATTCACGGACTTAGTCACAGCAGTGAATTGGGATATCCTCAGTTTGGCTAGACAGGCAGGCTTTGATGAGATGGAATCAGGATATTGAGGACGTCCTGGCATCCCATACAGAAGCGCTCACCAATGAGGATATGCAACAATTAACAGAACACAGTCCCGTTGAAGACGAAGACGACGAAGAAGAATCTCAACGAACGCTAACTACCAAGAGGATGGCAGAAGCGTTCAACATGATCCAGCAAGGTATGCAAATCTTTGTAGATGATGACCCAAACAGAGAACATAGTTTAAAGATTCTACACAGCCGAGGAGGAGCAAACAACAACAACAGAAGAGGAGCAAACATCAATGGAGGAGGAGCAAGCAGCGGCGGAGGAACGTCAGTCAGTGCAGGAGGAGGAGGAGGAGGCAGCCGCAGAGTCTCAGTGACTCACCGCCCTCCTCCACTCCCACCCTCCTCCTCCGCTCCCGCCATCCACCTCCTCCACTTCACTACCGGCCACACACTCGCTCTACCACCTCCTCCCATTGGTGAGTACCCATACAAACTTAGTAGTTGTATATGCATGCACTATTTTCTATAGAAATGACAATGATTTTCTGTATATATAATGTATTTCATGTGGCAAAGGGAGGCTCTGGAACGTAACTCCCATATTTTATCTATTTCTTATGGGGAAAATTGATCCGTTTAACGTTGTTTCGTATAACGTCGCGTTTTCAGGAACGTAACCCCGACGTAAAGCGAGGACTTACTGTACAGTACAGATACTACAGTATACATGTGACCCTGCCACCTGGTCCCTGATAACCTCGGATAATGAGGAGTATATATATATAAAAAATATGTGGTGAAAGCTGCCGGATGGGAATGCATCCCTTCTAGTTACATAAATTTTTATGGGGAAAATTGTCCCGATATTTGCAATGACTTTTAGAAACACATACCTTGCGATAACGAGGGTCTTCGTGTACTGTATGACCCTACTAAATACTACAGCTTTTCTCTGGGTCCTCCTGTACTAATACTGGACTGAGAAGTGGTGAGAAAAAAAAATTTAGTAAGTGTACCATTTGATAATGTAGCATTATATATCAACTTACTATTTCATGGAAGTTTTTATTATCTGGCACGGCACTGGTTCAAAGTTTGCCAGATAAGAAAGGGTCAACCTGTAATTAAGGATGAATATAAAGGAATATTTATTGTGGTCATGTGAGATTTTGGGTGTATATTTTAGAGTTAAGTAATGTTTTGTTCTATCAAAGAATAAAAGTTTTTATAACTAAATAGGGAAAAATTCTTTTTCAGAGTGTTGACTATGTGCCTGGTTCTCGTGAGTGCATTATAACATTTCGAGTTGCAGAAATCGCTGCAAAATTCTACCAGAAAATGAACAGGAGAATGGTAAATATGTCATTCATACGAGCTAAAATGATATTTTGAGAATATATTTAATGATTTCATTATTTTGACTCTAGATATTAGTACTTGTGGTAATTTGAATTTCAAAATAACATACTGTATTGAAATCTTAAAAAAAATTTGTGTTGATTGTATTTCAATTGGCTCTCCATACACGGAGTTCATTGTTTAAGTTTGTTTATACCAGGAAATATGTTAATTAATTGCAGTCTATAAGAAACATACATTACTTTGAAAAAATCTGAGGTTTGATTTGTATTGTAGTGTACACTATATAATATAGGACTCCTTATGTAACTTTAAGCTTTAGTTTAGTTTATCTTGTGTTGTTGTTATGCATAGTACCCTTTTTAATGAAAGGTTTCTGTGCAATGACATTGTCAGGTTATCAGACCTCAGTGGATGTTTCATTGAAAAGCTTATACATGGATGCTACCTATGTTAGATTAGAGCAGTGATGGTTGGACATTATAATTTAAGTAAATGATTAAATATAGGTTTAATACATTATTAAATAATAAGCACTTGCACTCCAACAAAGTTGTGAAAATATTTTTGATTTCAAATGTTTTGAACAATCACGATACATGCACAAAGTGATTTAATTTGTGTTGGGTTCATATTATAAACACAAATGTACAGTAGGGGATAATGTGGATGTCACACCTTTTTTCGTCATAGAAGTCTCCAGCTTCACATCATGCACCAAATTAATCAAGAGGTACAATAGTAACTCTGCCCTGCCTCTGTCATGCCACGGCTCCTCCATAAAGAAAAGAAAAAAATCCCGGAATGTCATCACTTGGCTTAATGAAGAAGATGCCTGCTGTCACTGCTGCCACCTGTTAGTGTTTGACTGAAATAGGTGTACCATGGAAAGGAAGCAAGATGATAGCATTGTTGCTTCTTTTTATTTAGCCAGATTATAGTGCAATGAGATCTGAAATGTTATATAATCAGAGTATGATTAAAATGGTTATTGTTATGATCTCCTTATGGTTGATATTTCCTTAGAGATGCCTTTATGTGTGTATGGAAAGTGAACCAGGTATGGGAGTGATCATGGCACATAATCAACAATGAACAACAAATAAAAAGACACTGAAAGCACTTGTTATTATGCATCATCACTGTATTCACTAACCCACTATAATGGGTGTGTTTAGGTGCCTAGGCTGTTGATGATTACATAGCTGATATTGCCCTGCAGATGATACATTTCTTCAAGTTGTCTATACAGTATCTGATATGATTTGCAGATCAATTGGCTATGAATCATGCCAAACTGGACACCATTGTTGCTGGAAGAATTAGATTTATTTTTCTTTTACATTTCTCAGATGTTTGATGCCTTTTTGCTCTACCTGTAGTACCTTCTCTTCCTTGAAGGGTTAGCCTCATGTAGAAGATTTTAAAGATAATCATGTTCAGTAATTCCAGCAAATAGAAACAAGTGCTAATTTTATTCATGAAGATGTTCAATACATAGCTCATATTTCAAAACTATGAGTTAGGTAATCTTGACATGTTGAAGGTCAATACACAGTCTGTTTGACTCATTTTATGCTGCTGTTGCTGTTCTGTTGATGTCATAATTCATTATGAATTGTTGTGGTGTCCTAATTACAACTGGCTGCTGCTGCTGTGTTGTTCTAGTGGGCAAGAAAACTTCTGTAGTTGGAATTTATATGTAATTTGCATTCATGTGATGCAACTAGGATTAGGTTGTTTTCCAGAAGCAGTTTATTCCAGTTTATACAAGCACCAACTGTATTAACTAATTGTCTAGGTCAGAAAAATACAGTACATATTGTATTAGCATGAGATTATGCTGCTTGCTAAGTGGATCTTTTGTTTGTAATTTTGATGATATTAATTACTTAGCTGTTTAGATGTTTTTAAGTCTTTAGTTTTATCAGCCATTTAGAACTTCAGTTTATTACAAGTTACTTATGATAAACAGCTTTTCTCCTTGTACTGCAAATTTATCTCGGTACAGAATGACCTTGCAGTGTGTAAAAGTGTGCCTGTACTGCTGGCATCATATTCTTATAATACATTATATTTGAACTGACTGTTTGTCTTGATATCTTTATCCAGAAATGTATACAGTACAGTACTCTATATTTAGTTCATATGTAAGTGTTGATGGTGTGACATTAAAAACACACATGCAGCCAGTTGTTTTCGAGTCCTTTATTGTAAAGTTTTGGTGAATATATTTTCATGTGATGTGTGTAAACTTGATGAGGTCTGAGACCAAGGTCAAAAGTAACACAGTCAACATAATCTCAGTCTCTCATGCTAAACACTTCACTATGGAGAAGCCTCACAGATAATGTAAGAGTCATGGTTTATTTATTCTTCAAAATAGGGAGAAGTTGTTTATGACTGGTTCATAAAGATATTAAAAAGTATTCTCAAAGGTGTACAATGCAGGAGTCTCCTTATAGTAAGGATATATCATGTATTAGTCACCTATGTCTTGCTGTTTTGTTTTCAGAGATATAGCATTAACTCAAAATTTTTAGTCCATTCCACAGGAATGAGAAGCTCACAAACAAATCCTTTTAAGTTTTAGTATTTATTATTTTATATGTAATCCATATTGGATTGAAACCTTCCAGGTTATCATACCAGTACATATTTTTTTTTTTTGTAAGTAAGATGAAGAAATCCTTTGTGAATATTTCACTGGTTCAGAATGTAAACCTGTTCTATAGGTTAGGTTAGCTATAAGATGGTTCATTTAAACTTGTCAGTCATTATAGTGTGTCAGTAATCCCAGTGGGATAAAGCTCAGTAATCCCAATGGGATAAAATTAATTCAAATCCAAAGGAGACTCTTCAATGAATTTTCTCATGTCCTCAGAAACAGATGAAATTTTATGGTTTGTTCTCCCAGTAGGAATTATGGGACAACAAAGGACCTCTTTGGTTGCATTTTAAGTTCATATCTTTGTATATATGTAATGCCAAGTTCTGTAGGAGGAATTAAGTTCAATGGGTATAATGCAGAATGTTGTAATACCATTTGTGTAGCATTATACTTTAATCTTAGTGATGATTCTTGCAGACATGCTTTAACATAAAATTCCTTTAATCCCTTTGCTCACAGTTATTGAAATAAACTCTGTAAGGTCTTCAGCCTGTATCATTAATACAGAAAAAAAGTTGAAGACAATTACAACTAGATATGAGTTACTAGAGATAGCAACCAGGAATAATTATCAGCAAGTTTTAATATAAAAAAGTCAATCCGCTGTTGTAGGTACTTATTGTATGTCTGAGGATATGTGGACTGCTCAAAGGGTATTCTTGTCACATAGATGTGTTGCATATTTACACTTATGCATTTATTTGTATCACTTCTTTTAGCTGCTTAATTTTTCAAAGGTTTAATTTTAGTTAAGTACAGTACCATACATTACAGAGATGTAGTTTTTTCTACTGTGGTAATACATAAAGCCATAAGGTAGTGATTCTTACTCTTGTAGTGGAAGATTTCATATCTGCCAAAATACAATTTACTGTAGTTTCCTACCCTGCAATGTATGGATTAATTGGCCAAGTACCTCTTTTTTATGGTTGTGTTGTCATTTCCATGGTGTAGTTTTGACTGAAAAGTAGAGTACAAAGTATTCTCACACTAGAAGTCTTACTAGTGGGCTATAGAGAACTGTAGTTAAAGATTAACCTGGTATTGCTGAGGTTTATAGGCAGAGGAGAAATGAAATGAAAAGTGCGTTTCGTTTCTCAGTAAGGAAGGGGAATTTTTTATGCTTGTTTATCATATGATAGCTGTTGTCATTGACAGTTAGTCACTTGCTGCTTGAAGATTAATGGTGATTGACAGAAATGTGCATTACTATTCTTAATAAGAGATAGGAAGCACAGTATTTTTCTTTACTTGAGAAACAATAGGTCCAAAGCTCTTTTATCACCTCAGATTATGTGAAAGTGAGCTCCGGTGATATATAATTTTTTTTTTATTAATGTTACTTTCTGTTTTGTGTTCACCCAGTGTTCTTCTTGTATGCTCTTGTTTTGTGTTGATTGGCCTAAACTGTGTTAAGAACACAGGGTAGAAAACTTAAAGCATCCACCAGTTCCAAATACCAGTAGTCATTACTGAGTATTAAAGTTTGTCAGTGGAGTTATACAAGTTAGAAATTTGCTTGTATAATTCTCATTCTTGTTTTTTTCTTACAATTTCCTTTATAATTAAGGATAACAGGTAACTTGTTAGGCTTAATATTATGAAGTTCGAGTGTATATTTAGACCATTATTATGTTCTATCTTACCATAAGAAAGTAATGAGAGGGTCATTTAATGACCTAATATTTCTCCTTGGCTACAAAAGACAGCTATGTGGTACATATGTATTTGTTAAAGCAAGAGTTTTGTTCAGGATATTAGGTAGAAAAATATCCTGTCGCCATCAATTGCATTTAGTGTTCCCCTTCATTTTGCTTTGAATTTGAGAAAAGATTATTTGTATTTTCTATATTTTTTCTTGAGTACAATACAGTACAGTACAGTACAGTACTTTGAAATATTAAATTAAAAATTGTAATTCCTTTGAATGCAAAGTTGAAAATTGAGGTCCTACTTTCACATGCCAGTAACTTCTGAGAGGCAGTGTTAGCAGTGTCCCATTTTCACTTATAATTTTGATAAGTATCTTTAGAATGCAAATTTCTGTATTAATTCCTATAATTGATTGTTGCAGTTGGTTTCTTCTAATTGAACACTGTAAATTAACTTTTTAAGTGTTATTATTATCATCATTATTCCAGTTGTTTGGTAATAATGCACTAATCATAGTGGGACACGTATTTGCATCTTGTCTGATGTTTGCATGTTGTGTAGGTTGTTGTTAACAGTAAGATATATCAGGTCTCCCACTGTAATACACGAACTCGTATCCAAGTACTGTGAAACTATTTTGACAAGAAGTGCACTTTGGAAAAAAAAGGCCACTGAGGACAGTAAAAAAAATAAAATAAAAAATCCTGGACTCTAAAAGTTTTAAATGGTACAACTTTGTATAATACAGTACACTGTATAAAGAAAAGGCTGTCATTTAAAGTTCACTACATTCATCGCTTTATCATATGGTAATACAGTATGCAGTATGATAAAACATGCAAAAACTGAAATAGAACCATATGTCTTCTTGAGTGCATCATAATTAGTTTCTATGCTCACAATCGACTGTATTCAGAACCTTCTTTAAACCTGTTGCCTTCACCAAGTGCATGACCAGGCTGTTCAAAACCACACGTTGGTATTCAAAAATCATTACGAAAACCAAAGCTGTACTGTATATGTCGTAGACATCGGTGTCTCACCGAAGATTTGGGGTAATACTGTACAGTGTAGGTAATATAATACTGTCAAGAGTTGCATAGTAATGTTCACAAATCAACAGATTTCAGTCTTCTGGAATTTTCAAGTTAAAAGTGAAGTTTATAATGACAGCAGGGCAGTATATTCATTAGAATAAAAAAAATTCATCATACCAGTGATTATAAGTTGTTTATGTAGTTTCATAACTGATTAGGTTATATAATAGACATATGTCTGTCAAAGTTTACAGTAAACTAAAGGTTACTAAAGTCTGCATTTCAAATCTTATGTTGTGATGAATGTAGAGGTAGAATGCAAACATCTATCCTTTACACACAACAATAATGCCAAAAGTGATTTGAGTAATCAAAACACATTCCAAAATTACTTCCAAGTGATAGTAATCAATGAGTACCTAGCTTCTGTAAATTTCTGAATGATGGTTTTATTCAAGCCATTATCATTGCTGAAACTAAATTATACTCAAACAAGATGCCAACTCACACTGGGTGGGACGTTTTTAAAATTTTGTACCTTGACCTTTGACCTTTTGACTCCCAAAATATAGCAGCTCTAGAGGTTGTCATGCTTCATATACAAGCCAAGTATGAAGAGTTTAGTTCTCCCTGTATTGAGTTAAGCTTCCAACATACTTGACCACTGTATTCATGCCATTTTGTTAGCACTGGAAATTACAGTACTGTACTGTATATTTTATGTGCTTTCAACAAATGGTCGTATAATATACAGTACAGTACTGACAATCAGACAAGTTAGAGAGCACCTTATTAAAACATCTGATTATCTTGTAGATTTTCTCTGTTAGTTAATGCTGAATTTATTGCACTTTTTTCCATGGAAATCCTACTGACAGATTTTTTTTCTCCTCCCAGTTTTGTGGATTTATTTAGCCAAATTATCAGAGCCATGCTACATTAGCTGCTTTACTGAAGTTTGTTAAGATATTTCTGTGGAATTATTTTATTATGATAAATGAATATTCTTGTAATTTGAAAAAAAATATAGCTTACTATTTGGGTACAAGTACAAAAGAAGATATTAGTCTGTTGTATTATATTAGTAATACACATAGCCAAATACCTGTAACATTAGCTGTATTCCACATATTCTGCCTCATTCCATATGTTCAAATACATCATAGTAAGTGTACTTAATTGTAACACAGTCATATAGTGTTTGTATTCAGTAGTTGTTTTATGTAAAATATATACTGTGTATATATATTTATATATATTTATATATATATATGTATATATATATATATATATATATATATATATATATATATATATATATATATATATATATATATATATATATATATATATATATATATATATATATATATATATATATATATATATATATATATATAAGTAAATCACTGTGGGTCAGCAGCGTGATTTATGTATATGCTGATATACAAGGAAAACACAGCAAGTTCCAAAACTTTAAGTGTATGCTCACCCTGAGATGTGGATTACTGCAGCGTGCATATATATATATATATATATATATATATATATATATATATATATATATATATATATATTATTTTCAATGGTTTACCATTCGTGATTTCAACAATTCTTGGGAAGCAGATGGTGGCTAGCTCACGAGCATCTGCGGGAGCACTGCAATTCACCCCCACGCATCTCCTTTCCCTTATTTGTGCCAAACCATTGGCCGCGCTACAGCATCTCTCGTATTGTGCTCAAAACTTCAGTGTTTTTGGTGTGAAGTGGCCCCTAAAAGACTGCCTAGGGCTATTGATGTTAGTGCAGTGAAACATAAAAGGCAAA